GCTCCGCGGCATGTGGGATCTTCCCAGACTGGGGCACGAACCCGCGTCCCCTGCATCGGCAGGCGGACTCTCAACCACTGCGCCACCAGGGAAGCCCTGGGCGCCCACTTTTTAAGCACGTAAACCCTCTTACCTTCTGGCCTCCTCCAGCCACGCGGCTACTTATGTACTCTGGGCCCAGCCTCTGCCTCAGAGCACTCTGGATGGCCTGGTACTCTTCTGCTGTGTACTGGTACTGTAATCCAGAAAGGGAAAAGTAAACTGACATTTCTACCATTCCTTATCAGCAAGTCTCCAACTGTTTGGTCTCCAGACCCCTTTACACTCTTCAAAAGTACTGAGGATCCTATGAGCTTTGTTTATGTGGGTTGTATCTATCAATACTAGGAATTAAAAATGAGAAACTCTGCAGGCACACATTCCAGTAACCATCGGAGCAACGATATCAGCACGTGCTATACGGTCTCTGGAAAACACCGTCACTCATGAAAGAATGAGAGTAAAAAAGGCACAGAGTATTTTAGTATTATTATGAAAATAATTTTGACTTCACAGAGTCTGAAAGGTCTTGTGGACCCCCAGGGGTCAGTGGACCACATTTTGAACACCACTGCCTTAGATGTTACTAATATGTTACCATCCCTACAAAACTTTCTCGAGCCAGAACTGGGAAACTGAAACGTCCCTCCTCGGAGTCTGCATGACATGTAGGTAGGCAAGGGAGGAGGAGAGGAGAAAACAAGGCAGGAGGCCTTGCTTCTACTTGTCCTCGTGTCTAGTTCAACAATTTCCCATCCTACACATAGAGAAATACACTCCTACTTGTTTAGATTTTCATCCCCTCAGTACTCTTCCCCTTGCCCTATTTAAATGGAATAAATACACAAATAGATTTCTGGTAAGACAAAGATAGAATTTTGGGGGACAAAGCAAGACTCTCCCTTATATGCACAGAATATCTGCACAAAGAGTACAACACCAGAAATTTTGGATGCCTCCAAAAAAGAGATCTGGGTGACATGTGGACAAGAGTGATAGGAAATAGTGAGACTTTTTACATACAGTCTGTTTCGTTTTGAATGTTACAGCCTATGAAAATGTAATCTATCCAAAAACTAAATAAAAGTTACATCTAAATGTAACCCCCAGTGCTGCTAAAGTTCCAAAATGCCCTCAGAGCTTGTCAAAGCATCGCAAATGATGCACTTAAATGAAAAAAACCAATAAAACAGCTTACATGTATATGATGGTGCTCTACCAATGGCTTCCCCCATACCTTTTTCACTTAACCTCATTCCTTCCAGGTATGAAAAAAACACACGTACCTGACCAAAGCATAATACAGAGTTGCCACCAGCAGGATGGCTGTCACGGCCGCTAAGAATTGCTTCTTCAGTCCCAGACATGTTGATTCAGGTTGACCTCTAAATAAAAAGATTAAAAAAATGATCTCAAAGAATGCTAGTGGTAAAAGGCAAGAGCCTCTACTAAAAATCAGATGAAGTAACTTTCCTTGCATACTTTAAACACTGACCCAGTCAAGGGCCAAGTTCCTCAGTGCTTAGCTATCACCTAACAAGCCACTGAAAATCCTTTAGGGTCTGCTTCTACCTTTCTGCTAAAATTTTGCTAGCGTGGTGGTGCTATTAAAGGTGATTTTTACAATAAGATTGTATTGTATGTTATAATTACAATGTTCGTAATTGAAAAAGTCAAAATTACAAAAGCATGCTAGGGGAGAGCAAACAACCAGCTTATGACCACCTGCTATATGGGCATCATGACCCTGACCTCTGTGGGGTTGAAGAGGAAACATAGGCCACAGTAGTTGAACTGCTGTCGCGGAGCCAACACGCCAGCAGGCGGGAGGAGTATAACAGACATGACGCAATGGAACAGCCAGATGGCAAAGAAGACCCTGTGTTCAGAAAGGGCACAGCATTAAACCACTAGTAGTCACTGCCGTTTCTTTATCGCCTGGGACCTTGTTGCAAATGCACATTCTCAGGCCCCACCCCAGACCCACTGAATCCAAAACCAGAGGTGAGGCCCATGTATGAGTGCTGGACCAAGCCCACCCCATGATTCTGACACAAGCTGCAGTTTGAGAGCCACTGCATTAGACTGAGACCACGCAAGTGTGCAGTCTATTAGCAAAGAGAATTACCCTCAGAAAAAGCAGCTGCAGCTGGCTGACCCGCTACCTGAGTGCCCCACCCGCTGCAAAGCCAACGAAGTTGGGCCTCAGCACATCTGCATATGCTGTAAATCTTCAGATTCTTCACTCACAGCAGGACCACAAACGTCCTACTGTGAACATCAACCAGTATGATTCTATGAACGTCAACCAGTACGATTCCCCACGCAGTGTTCCAAGATGGTGTTTAAGAGCTGACATTCCAAATGGTGATTTCCGGCTCCATCACCCACGAGGTCTCGACCAAGAGAAAAATCACATAATCTCTCTAAATGACGTTTCATCATCTAGAAAATGGAGATAACAATAGTATCTACATTTCCTAGGGGTTCTGTAAAGATTAAATGAGAAACTGCATAAAAACTGCATTAATCATACTAAATGAAATTAAGTCAGAAAGAGAAAGACAAATATCATATATCACTTATCTGTAGAATCTAAAATATGACACAAATGAACTTATCTACAAAACAAACAGAAACACAGACATAGAGAACAGACTGGTGGTTGCCAAGGGGGAGAAGCTTGGGGGAGGGATGGAATGGGAGGTTGGGGTGAGCAGATGTAGGCTTTTATATATAGAACGGATCAACAACAAGGGCCCACTGTACAGCAGAGAACTACATTCAATATCCTAAGATAAACCATAATGGAAAAGAATATAAAACAAAGAATATGTGTGTGTGTGTGTCTGTGTGTGTGTATACATATATAAAACTGAATCACCTTGCCGCACAGCAGTAATTAACACAACACTGTAAATCACCTATACTTCAACTTAAACTACATCAGAAGAGCGCCTGGCACATATGAAATACTACATAAATGTTAGTTATTGCTAAGTTCTTGTTAATTTTCTTACATACATGATGATGAAAATGCAGAAAACGAAATGATCATAAATCATTACCTTTCAGCTAAGAAATGGTAAATTTATTTATAATCTTGCACTAAAAAGTAGGATAGTGGCCTATACTAGGTTAGTCAATAGTGTCTAAAATTGTTAAATCAAGAAATAGTGGAATGAGGATATTACTTAGAACTGTAAATGCCAGAAAAGACAAGTAAAAGAACGAAACATCTCTTAGGAGTGGTGCTGGTGTGAAGAACAGCGCAGCAGGGCTTGCCTTTTTAAAAGTAAAACTTTTAGTGCTATTTCCTTTTCAAATATCTGCATGTATTATTTTAATAAAAATAAAAACCTAAATACCTGTTCCATAAAGCAGGGCTCAGCAAACCTTTCCCATAATGGGCCAGAGAGTAAATATGTTATAGGTGTTGCAGGTTGTATGGTCTCTGTCACTACTTCACTTTGGCATTTTAGCCTGAAAGTAGCCACAGACAATACATGAACGAATGGGCGTGGCTGTGTCCCAATAAAACGTTATTACACAAATGAACTTATTTACAAAACAGAAAGAGACTCACAGACTTAGAAAACAAACTTACGGGTTACCAGGGAGGAAGGCCGGCCGGGAGAGACAGATTGGGAGTTTGGGACAGGGAGTTTGGGACTGACATATACACACGGCTATATTTAAAATGGATAATCAACAACGACCTACATGTATAGCACAGGGAACACTGCCCAATATTCAGTAATAACCTAAATGGGAAAAGAAATTGAAAAAGAATAAATACATGTATAACTGAATCACTTTGCTGTACACCTGAAACTAACACAACATTGTTCATCAACTATACTCCAATATAAAATAAAAATCTAGGGACTTCCCTGACGGTCCAGTGGTTAAGACTCGGCGCTTCCACTACAGGGGACATGGGTTCAATCCCTGGTCAGGGAACTAAGATCCTGCATGCCACATGGCATGGCCAAAAATAAATAAATAAAATAAAAACTAAGAAACAAACAAAAACTTTATTACAAAAAGAGGTGGCAGATTTGGCCCATAGGTCACGGAGTGGGATACTAAAAAGTTGTAGGTGAAGAGGATGTTCACAAAGTTTCAAATGAGAGCCTATCTGGTTATCTGTTAAAAACAAGGGTATACACTGCAAATGTACTAATGCCACTGAACTGCATGCTTAAAAATGGTTAAAATGATAAATTTTACATTATGTACATTTTACCACAATTTTAAAAAAGGAGGGGAATAGCTTAATACAGAAAAGATTTCTATCTCACTCATGAAAGATTTAATACAGTCCGGCAGCCCTGTCGATCTTATAGCTATGCCGTCTGGTATGTGTGACCCCTGAGGTCATCGCTGCAGGGGTAGGCAGAGCTGGAGCAGCCACACCAGCTCATAGCTGCCTTAGCTGTGACATGCATCACTCTGGTCACAGTTCCCTAGACAGAACTAGTCACATGGCCCCACAGGCTGGGAAATGTAAGAAGGCATTTAAATATTTGGTGAGTACTGTCTCTACCACAGCCATTTCTCCCCACTCCAGTACGAGCCCCTAGAAGGTGGGGGGTTCTTCCTGACTCTCTGTGGCACCCCCAGGGCCTAGCATAGTACCTTGCTCATAGTAGGTGGTAAGGAAGGGAAGTGTCTGAATATTAAATGAACGGATAGACCAGTGAATGAAAGAAATACATAATGCAGGATATATAGACAAAGTATATTTTTTAATTCTAGAAACTAATTTTATAAGGCAACAGTTACACTTCTCACATTTAAAAAGCAATTTCTTTCTACTTTTCTAAACAATCTTATAAGATTCAATATGTTGAAAAAAGGACAACTAGTCTCTGTCTATAGACTAAAACATGGAATTATTCTTTTTTTAAAAAAAAATATTTATTTATTTATTTTTGGCCACGTTGGGTCTTTGTTGCTGCGTGCGAGCTTTTCTCTAGCTGCAGTGAGCGGGGGCTACTCTTCGTTGCGGTGCGCGGGCTTCTCATTGCTGTGGCTTCTCTTGTTGTGGAGCACGGGCTCTAGGCACGCAGGTTTCAGTAGTTGTGACTCACAGGCTCTAGAGCACAGGCTCAGTAGTTCTGGCACACGGGCTTAGTCGCTCCATGGCATGTGGGATCTTCCTGGACCAGGGCTTGAACCCATGTCCCCTGCATTGGCAGGTGGATTCTTAACCACTGCGCCACCAGGGAAGCCCTGGGATTATTCTTTTTGCCAGTTTTAACTTTGGAAAAAACACTTACTCTTCCGCCTCCCTTTCTAAAACTGTCCACAAACCATTTTCCTGTTACAAAATTAAAATGTCTTTATTGTAGAAAAAGCTTTAAACATATCAAAAACATGGGAAGAAGTAAAATGTGGCTGGATTCCCACCAGCAACAAATAGCTGTTCTCTTCACATATGACTGTGCTTGTGCATGTGTTTCATGTGTATGTACATGCGTATCTGTTAAACCAAAGTAGATTCCCAATGTATCAGGCATATCTTACGCAGGACCTCAAGTCTTGGCCCTGCCTGTCCCTGAGGCCTCAGACCACTGTCTCGACCCTGGCTGCCATTAGGAGGACCACATACACGAGGGTCCCGACCAGCAGCACACGGGCACAACCCTACGGCCCCTACTTCCTGCTCACAGGGATGCCTCTTAGCTCCCACCCTTGGCCTCCCTCCTGCGTTTGAGGTGTGAGAACCCGTGGGGCCCACCTGATGCCCGCACGCGCACCATCTGCACATCTGGTGGAGCTGGCGTGCCACGGGGCAAACCTTTTACCAGGGAGACAAAGGCGCTGAGGAGTAAATCCTCTCCTCCCCTCATTTAGGCGACCGTCCTGGGGTGCGCACTTCATACCTCCTCCAGGGAGACAGCTTAAGGAAACCAAGCTATCAGCTGTCCTTGTCACCAAGGGGTGGCCAGCCTGGAAATGCACGCTTGAACTGACTTCATCTCCACCTCTCCTCAATCCCCTTTTCCTTCACTTCTGCTTCCTGGAATTGCACTTCCTAAAAAAATAATACCACATAAGCTTTTGCCTCAAGCTCTAGGTCCCGGAGTCCCCAGGCGTAGCAGACACTAGGGGTGCTGTGCTAACTATCCCGTCAGCTCTCACCGCAACAGCACACGCCCAGCCTAACTTCCACACGCCGACACCTGCATCTCTACCTGCAGGCTTGCTTGGCATCGGGCCCATTCTGCACCTGTTCAGGGTAAGCCGCAAGTACCAGAGAACGGATGCCCCTGGGAGCAGCCCTCAGTGACTGACAGGAGCTGGCGTTTAAAGACCCTAGATTTCTCACCCCTTCTGTGGGATAAGCTAAGCCGTGAGT